GGGTAGACTCACTAACCTACTACGCAGCATTATACAAAGAACAATTTTGGATTCGGGACAACGGGACGGGACGGGTTATATTTCACTTGTCCCGGTCCCGTTTTGTTTTGAAACGGTACGGGACCAGTACGGGACAAAAATAATGTGTCCCAAATATAACGGGACAATTTCGGAACGGAACCGGAACATTCCGGAACGAGCCAACGGGACCGGGTCTTTTGCCCGCCCCTAATGAATTCCATATTTTTGGCATAATTCAGAATGATTTAAGATGACACAAAAAATGTTGACATTGTCAAAGAGAAATATGCCATATTTTTGGCATTTTCCGAAAAAAATGGAAGTTTGTAGGAAATATGACATTTTTTTAACGGTCGGAGGTGGTGGTGGTGCAGGGAGGCGGTACCACCACCTCCCTGTCACCAGGGTAAAAAAATGCCAAAAAAAAATATGAATGTCATATTTTTGGCAAAAGTCAAAAGGATTGAAGTTAGCAGAATGAAAATGTTGGCATTCTCATAGAGAAATATGCCATTTTTGTGGAATTTAAAAAAATGGCATTTTTTACACCGATCGGAGGTGGTGGTTCAGGGAGGTAGTACAGGCGGTGGGAAAGATATCCATATTTTTTTTTAATTTTTTTTATGGAGTTTTACTATTTTTTATTAATTTTCAAAAAAAAAATTAATTTTTTTTTTATTTTTTTATAAAAATTTTATTAATTGTTTTTATTTTTCTACGAATTATTGAAATTTTTTCGGATTTATTATGAATTAAACATTTAATTATAACTTTTAGCTATCTTTTACTAATATTTAAAGGAGGGGTAAAAATGGAAGGAAGAAATGTGTATGTTTACAATAGGACCACTATGGTCATATTTTGGAATAAAAACATTGCAAGTCCTATTTTGAGTTTTTGACATAATTTTAATCCTATTTGAAGTAATTTCTATTCATTCTATAAAAAATGTGAGCCGCTAGTAGGGGAACTAACTGGTCCGCCCCAATTTATACAATTAACATAGGCAACAACGATCATTCATATTAGAGATGGCAATTGTGGCCGATCCGATGGATACCCGCACCGAACCGCCCCGGTCAAAACGGGGAAAACCGCTTTGACCGGATAACGAGTACGGGGCGGGGAATACCCCTTTTGTTTTTACGGGTAATGGGGCGGTTACGGTTTTATACATGCCCGCCCCATTATCCGCCCCGTACCCGCCCCGTTTATGTTTTAGTTATATTTTACTACATTCTTATCTATTATTTGTCCCACAACTAATAAAAGATGATATTTTTCAATTTTCATTGGTATATATGGATAATAGATGTACTAACTATATAGTGTATGAATTTTGTTCATAATAGATCTTAATAGTCTTTTTTATTATAATCAGATTTTTTCCGTGATTAATTAATTTTCAGATCAAGTATTTTTATGTTTAAATTAATTTAGGTTGTTTTTTTCTCGATTTGTAGATATACGAAACTTTAAAATGGCGTCTGAGTCTAAAGTCGTCTAGGTGATACCATTTTTCGCCTTTTAAAATATTATTTTTATATTAAAATATCAATGACCCATTTAATAAAGCGATTACCCGCGGTTATACCCGGTACCCGTTGGGGCGGTTATGGTTTGGGTAAAAAATACCCGTTGGGTAATGGGGTGTTTATGGGGCGGAGGAATTATCAAACGGGGCGGGTACGATTATATGTAAAACCGTCCCCGATCTGCCCCGTTGCCATCCCTAATTCATATCCACAAACTAAATTTATTTAAAATTTAAATTATAACATTACACAATAACTCAAATGATATCCGGCCGTAGTTTGTGGGTCTATGTTGATTTTTTTCTTTAAAACACGGCGTATGCTTTGGATCTTTTTCATACTCATTTTGAACATGGTTGAAAGATCATTGGATAAGTATCTAAAGCCTTGTCAACATGTTCACATATAAATATGAGAAGAAAAAAAATCTGATTGAACTCTTTCTCAACTCCAAATAATATGTAGCCACACATAGAAGTTAGGAAATATCATTCATTATTATGATGAAACATAATAATATCAAACAGTACTCGTGTGCCTAAGAAAGTGCCGTCCACAAATCATCTTCTTCTTTGCTGGGAAATGTACCATTCAACTATCCATTGCCATAAGATATGAATAAAATTGTGGAAGGTCGCATCCTGATATCTCAACATCGATTATCTGGCTTCATCATCTGTTTTCACCTTTCTCTTCTAAGACTCTTGTCATGGTGTCTTCATATGATTTGTATCACTTGAAGTTAGCTAGCTTTCATATGAAACTTGAAAGTTGTACTTTGGATGTTTCTACAAAAAGATATGCTTGAACGAATGACAAGACGACATCATGATCGTCGTTTCAAGCTTTATTCGTCTTCAATTCGTTTGATCTCGTAGCCAATCCTAGAGCTCTTTTGTCTTCAACACTTCGCCTTTAACACCTAATTGACCTTCAATGCTCCTAATCAACTCTCAAATGCGTCTCAACTCTCTCGATTACTTCTCAAATGCCGGTGTCGGACTTAATTCCCTGATTTTGACTCCAAAAATATCAAACACGAACCAATGCCCGATAAAATATGATTTGAGCTAAAAATGAGACTTATGACACCTTTATGCTAGGATCTCAACACGCATCAAATGCGTGTCGAAATACGGACTTATCACTGGTCTCCAAAGAAAAAGAATGCAGGAATGAGGAAATAAAGCAATTAAAGAGAAAAAAAAGATAAGCAAAAACAAGCCGAAAAGAAAGAAAGAAAGAAAGAAAGAAAGAAAGAAAGAGATAAGTAAGTAAGTAAGTAAAAGATAAATAAAAAGAAGTGGATGAAAAAAGGTGACGTGGGCCGTTACGTGTACACTATATCAATAACTCAGTACAAGCATGCACCCCTTCAGTCGGACCGGCGGCGAATAATTACCTACTAAAAATCACGGAGCCCTGCCTAGTTGAGTACGGATGCATCCTAAAAAAAACTATGAGCGGCTATTTATACAATTATTATAGCCAACAATGATCATTCATACCCGCAAACTAAATTTATTTAAATTTAAATTTTAACATCACACAATAACACAAATGATGTCCGGCCTTGGTTGTGATCGATCGAGTCTATGTTGATTTTAATTCTTTAAAACACGTCATATATATATGAGGGAGGTAGTTGTGCTTTGATGCTTTTTCATGTTCATTTTGAACATGGTTGAAAGATCATTGGATGAGTATTTAAAGCCTTGTCAACATGTTTACATATAAATATCATCCAAAAAAAATCTGATTGAACCCATTCCGAACTCCAAATTAATAATACGTAGCCACACATAGAAATTAGGAAATATTCATTCATTATTATGATGAAACATAATAATATCTAAACAGTACTCGTGTGCCTAAGAAAATACTGTCCACAAATCATCTTCTTCTTGGCTGGAAAGTGTACCATTCAACTATCCATTGCCATATAAGTTAGTTCATGGCATGGGTTTGCTCACTTCATGGTGGCCGTACTCCAAAATATGTTGTTATTTTTATTTCTTTTTGAAATCAGATACGCATGCCCACTCCAGTTACAAATTGTTTGGTATAAGTTAATGAGGCTGTGTTAAGTCTAAATGCTTTTAAGAACAAGACAGATATGTGCTAAAAAGATTAACAATACTTTTATATGCAAAGACAATGTGGTGGTAATTCAATTATACATCCATTTAGTTTAGAAATAAAAGAAGTAGAAATTTATTGTCCTAATAAAACATTTGATTGCTCCATATTTAGTAACAATCAAGAATTAAGTACAAATCTCATTAATAATTGTAATCTATAAATAAAATAATCCGAAGAATAAGAATAATTAAAGGCAATAAATATAAAAAAAATATTTACAAAAACATTAGTAACATAAAAACACAGAACTAATTGAGACATAGCAAAATAAAGTTATAAAAAACGAAGTGTTTTAATTTAAAATATATAAAATGTGAGATAATGTATTATTGATTGTTATATTGAAGCGAGATGAATCCAGCTACTATTACAAATTATATAGAGTACAATTACAATAATTAATAATAATTATTGATCATCATCTGCCAAAGAATAAAATTGATCATAATTACGTCACATAAATGAACAATCTTTCGTACTAAATCCAGTTCAACAATCATAGATTTGAATTCAGTTGAAGCAGACATCAATGGTGATAAACAACAATTACAACAATACATTTTAAAAGCATTCAAAAAAATCATTTTTAAAAACGAAGATATTGGAAATATTTCTTCTCTTATAACATTTTTTGGGCAAAGCTTTAATAGGATTATTGTTCAGGAATACTTTTTGAACTGCAATTATTATGTTATTTAAAAATTCTCTATAAGTCCTTAGTTGTATGTTTGGCACTATGGTTTTTATTCGCTGTTTTAGAAATGAAGCTTTTTCTTAAACATTACCGAAATATAACTAGTGCGCAAAAATATTACTACAGTTACTTTGCATCTGAGTATGATTTTTTTTATAATTTCTTGCAATCTGTTCCAAACCGAATATAAAACCAATATGTCCACCCCTATATTTTATAACTATAGAAGTTTGGGTTGGTTTATTCAAATCTGGTCTGGTCTAACCTAGTCTAAGACTAAAAACAATTCGAGTAAAACATTCTAATAATCATTTGGGCATTTATACGTTCACAATTAGGTATAGAAATTTACCCATTGAATTTCATGAATATCTATTGAATTATTAATACTCTTGTACTTCATATCAATCAACTAGAAAATCATTTTTTTCGAATGCTTTTAATTGGATTTATGTCCAAGATTAAAACAAAATTAAGTAATTGACTAAATCACACGAGATCAAACTAGATCAGATTAGGCGAGATCAAATCAGACATCAATAGTTGTACTATACACATAAAATCATTATCTATCATATGAGACTTGACTCAACCAAATTAGATTAGACCATACATTTCGATTCAATTGAAACGTGGGAAGGAAATTTCAATCCAATTCACGGCAGGTTCCCACTTCCCACACATTTCCGCCTAATGCAAAAAAACAAGAAGCTTATCCATAAATAAATGGATAGATTGGCCAAATGTGTAGCAAATTATGTTCCTCTTACTCTTATCAATCTCTTGAGAAGGGCATCCAAGTGTTATGCCGACCACAACTCCGTCATCTATGCTGGCATCCACTTCACGTGGAGCCAGACCTATGACCGATGTCGCCGCCTCGCCGCCCCCCTACGAGCTCTCAACTTGCCTCATTAAATTTTCATATATATGCCCTAGTAATTAATATAATTAATAGAGTAGATTTATCATTATTCATTATTGTGGGACTCATATTGTAATATTGAACTCTTTCTATTATAAATATATCTGTCAGGGCTACCATTACAGGTAAGCCTGATATTATTTTCCACATGGTATCAGAGCCACATCTAAAAATCCCTATTTTTTTTCTTTTCTGCGGCTGCGATGTCTTCCTCTTCTGCGCCTATCACGCCGCCTTCTTCTGATGCGGCTCAGATGACGACGGCAGCTCTCTCCTCCTCCACAACTCCGGCGATGTCATCGGCTGAGTCGTCTGCTGCATCGGTGTTCGGTCTCTCTTCTCCGTTGCAGGTGGATTCCTCCCTCACCAGCTCTCTGTTTTCGGCACCATCGGCCTTCTCTCAGCCATGGATGCCGCCGCCACATACGGCGGATTTCAGCACTTGGACTCCACCCATATTCACATGGACTCCGACCTCCACTGTTGTCCGTTCTCCAGTGATAATGGTGTCTATCCAATTCGTCAGCCTGCACCTTCACCAGTTGCCCTTTCAGTTGCTTCCGTTTCCCTTTGGCATAATAGACTAGGACATTGTGGTACTCGTGTTTTAGATCAACTTAGAACAAATAATTTAATTTCTGGCACTTCTGCTTCAGTTTCTGATTGTATTCCCTGTCGTTTGGGAAAGTCACAACGATTACCTTTTAATAAAGTTTTTCACAATAGTCCGTGTGCTTTATACTTAATTCATTCTGATGTTTGGCAATCTCATGTGCTCTCTCGTCTTGGTTTTAAATACTATGTATGTTTTGTGGATGATTTTTCTCGCTTTACCTGGTTATATCCTATGTGGCGCAAGTCTGAGGTCGCTACTCATTTTCATCATTTTAAGTTAATGATTGAAAATTTACTTGACCGCAAAATTAAGATTTTTCAGAGTGATGGAGGGGGTGAATTTGATAATTTTCATATGCGAAATTTTTTACTGACTCTGGAATTAATTTTCAAAAATCTTGTCCTGAAACTCCGCAGCAAAATGGTGTTGCTGAGCGAAAACACCGCCATTTAGTTGAACTAGCGCGTACCATGCTCATCACCGCCACTTTGCCCGCTCAGTTTTGGGTTGATGCTGTTCTTACTGCCACTTTTATCATCAATCGATTACTCTCTCCTACTCTACATGGTCGGTCTCCGTATGAAAAATTATTTCTTTCTGCGCCGAATTTATCTGGCATGCGTGTCTTTGGTTGTGCTTGTTTTCCAAATTTTAATGCTACCTTAGCGAATAAACTCTCGCCACGATCTGTTCAGTGTGTTTTTCTAGGGTATGCCTCTGAATATAAAGGGTATCGTTGTCTTGACCCTATTTCTGGTCGGGTTTACATTAGCAGAAATGTCAGATTTTTAGAAAATGTTTTTCCATATGTTAAGTTAACGGGTGCTATGCTGTCTTCGTCTAGTATGTTGCCTTCTACCGCTACCTTAGTTCCCACACGAACCACTGATTCTTCCCGGGCTGCTGCAGCTCCACCTCACCTTCACCCTGCTGCAACTTTTTCCCCAAACTTGTTGCCTCCTCGATCATTCTACCTCAAACCTTCAGCCAGATAAACCAAACTGTACTCCCCCCCCATATACCTACTACGCCCAGCCCTCCCATATCTCCTACCCGCAGCACTCCCTTAGAAACACACGCCCAGACCAACTGCCACACCAGTCCACTGGCCGACATCTATGATCACACCATCGTTGACCAGCCCTACCCCTCACTGGCCGAAACCAATTCCCAAACCTGCACCTCATTTGCCGAATCCAATTTCCAGACTTGCAGCCCCCCAATAGCCAAAATCCCAGCATCCCACACCTCTCTGGGCGACTGCCATGTCTCGACGTCCGTGTCTCCCCATTCCCTCGCCCCGGTTGGTAATGTTCACTCAATGCAAACCCGGTCTAAATCAGGTATTTTTAAACCAAAAACTATTTTTAATTTAAACACCGTTGTTCGCACACTTGATCCCACATGTTTTTCTATGGCAAATAAACATCTTGAAGCAGAATTATTATGCTGATCTTTTTGGAATTCCTAGATTTCGTTTCTAATCTGTTGTTTTACTTTTGGGTCAGGTTTAGTCCCCCCAAATTTGATGTACTCTCTCTGATTTTTAATAAAATTATGGTAAATGACCCCCGGCATTTGCCCCACTGATTTTGGTGGTTTGCCTTTCCGGGGTAAAAAAAAATAATAATAAAAAAACATCTTAAGTGGCGAGCTGCTATGGCAGAGGAATTTAATGCTCTTATCTCTAATCATACATGAGATTTAGTACCATTTGATGCTAAAAAGAATGTGGTTGGGTGCAAGTGTGTTAGTCCCTATTCTAACAATCAAACAATCATCAGAATGAAAGAAGAAGCAGATAGATTCTCATTCATATCAAAGTATCGAGAACTTTGGTACACCGTGTAAACCAGCCGCTGCTCTCCCTCTAGAGAGAGAGCAGCGTAAAAGCTAATCTATTCTCTATTCTGCCTCTATGCTCTATTGCCTTTTTTGTTTGGTTTTCTCATAACTTAGCTTCCTTTTATAGGAGAAGGAGGCTAACTTATGGCTTACAAGAGGCCTAATGGGCTAATATTCAATTGTGGCCCATATTACACATTTAACTAACAACTACACAAATACAAAAACATCTAACTAGATTGGACACCAGAAAAAGTCCTAACAATCTCCCCCTTGGTGTTCAATCTTGTTTGATCAGCATTGCGGCGCGGATGTCTTTGTCTTTGTGTTCAGTTGCTCCTCAATGCAGCTCAGCTTCCTTTGTCTTTGCACTCGGCTTCTTGAAAAGGCTTTTTGAGGAAATCCTTGCAATCTCCCCTTTGATGTCTTCATGGCAATTTGTTCTTTGATGCCGGGGAGTTGAAGAATCTTCAGGATGTAGCTTGTGATCTTTACCTTTTAGAAGTTGCTCTTGATCAGCATTAATGAATTCCGAAGGCACCTCTGGAACGAGTGTTCAGGTGATATACAGGCGCACATAGGATTCATCTTCAGAACTTGAATACTTGACCTTTGTCTCCTCAAAGTTTACATTGCACAGCGGAAAAAGATTGCTTTTGAGGAGATCTCGTCGGTGGCACATCGGAATAAGATTGTTGACTTGTGAGCGTAGCTGACCATTTGACTTGAAGCTGGCTTGGCCATTTAGCAGTAGAGATAGTGGAGAAAGTGTCCAAAAATGATTTGTTGATAGTGAACAACATGTGGACTACTCTCCCCCTCATGACGATTGATAAGTCCATTTTTGTACTTATTTTTCTTATCAAATTTAAGTGATTTTTGATTGAAAATAGAAAGAAAAGGCATGTTTTAGATATTTTGGTTCAAGTTTCATGAAATCAGGTGAAAACCACATTCATAATATGTTTGCAGAAATTTCGGGTCAATTGAGCACAAAATGAGTCAATTTGAGTAACAAATGAAGTCATACCGGAAGAAGTAAGCATTTTATCAAGGTGATCCAGAAGACAATCTTGGAGAGCAGGAAACGCAGGAATTACCAGACAAATTTAGCAGAAGGCACCCAAATAGGCGCCCAAAATGGCCGCCTGGTTGGCCGCCTACGGTAAAATCAAAAGTCAACATTTGACTTTGACCCGAACCAGCAAATGACGGAAGGCTGCCGACACCAGGCGGAGGGCGGCCGCCTGCGGCACAAGGGGACGAAGCCAACCACCGGCCGGTGCGATTCGACGGCAGGCGGCCAGACAGAAACGGCAGGCGGCCGCCTTCTGGACCGCCTGCGGCTGACGGAGATCGGTGCGATTTAAGCTGCCGGCGACAAGACGGAAGGCGGCCAGATTTGGACGAAGGGCGGCCGCCCTCTTGGGCGCCTGCGAGAAAATTTTGTCTATAAATAGCAGGCTTTTTCCTCATCTCAAACACACCAATTTCAATCCCAAATCAGATAAAAAAGGGCGTCTTCTTCCTCCTCAAAGCTCGGATTTCCACCATTGTTGCACCTTCAACTTCAATCTTTCATATCTTTCTCATTTTAGCTCCAAATTGTGAGTTCTTTATATGTATTTTCATCCTTTCAATGAGTAGAATCTGAATCTATACTTAGTTTTTTTTATCTGTGCTTCTAAAATTTCCAGAAAATTATTCCACTATTTCGCATTTTCTTCTTAAATTTGAATAAAATAGTTGTTGACATTAAATCCATTCCAATTAATTATATAGTTTTTTACTAGCCTCAAAGTAGTTATTTATCAAAACAAAGTTAATTTTTACGAAGTAGAAGTAAATTTTAATTAATTCCGGCATTTAGTTGTTATTATTGCATAAATTAAATTATATACTCACAAAAGGAAAAAAATTAGTTTCTGTCCTAATTCCAGTTTAATTCACAGTAATATCACTCCTAGTAGTCAATATAAAATTTAGAACGAATTTAGAATATTTGTAGTTACTTTTTTTGTATTTTCTACTTAATATTGGGAAACTTATCAATTAGTTGTTAAAATTGGATTTTAGGTTATAAAATTCGGGAAAAATTCCAGAAGGTGATATTTTAGTTCTACAAGTTTATTTTGGCAGAATATTATTTTTGTTTAATTTTTGCTATTATACATGCTTAATTCCTTGTTAATGTTGAATTTATTCATTGTATTGTTAAATGAAAAAATGATGTTTATTAGCTAAATTTGTTTTGGGCATGAATTGACTAAAGGAATATGGATTGACTTGTTGACCGAAAATTAGGGATTAAAATTAATAATTTGGACTAGTTGTTTGAAATGATGAAATAGTAATTAATAATTGTTAGCCATATTCATTAATTAAATTCTTGGAAAATTATTTCTAACTTGTCTATGAGATTAGAAAATAATTTAAGCCAACCATATTCAAGCACATTAATAAGGCCTAGAAATATGATAATTTAATGAAAGGGATTTACATCTTGTCTATGAGAGATAAATTCAATTGCTTAAATAATGAGTTTAACTAGTTAATGAATTTGGCTATTTTTATTAATTAAAATATTGGAGAATTATTTCTACCTTGTCTATGAGGTTAGAATTTAATTCAAGCCAACCATTTTGAACACATTAATGACACCTAGAAATAGGATAAATTAATGAAAATAGTTTGCATTCTTGTCTATGAGTAAAGAAATTATTAGTCCAATTTTAGTTTTAATTTCCCTAATTACTAGGTCCAAGAATATATCCATTTCTAATTACTCAATTCATTGCCCTTATTTGCATCAATCCATTTAAGTTTAATATTATATTTTTTTTCTTTAGTTTATTTTTGAGCATTCATTAGTATTTGCACAATTTAATTTACTTTCCTTTCCAAAAAGTAGTTTAGAAAATCAATCAAAAGTTTAATTTGGAAAGCTTCCAATAATTTGCGATAACCTGTGACTGGACTTAAAATCAAGAAGCTCCTCCGCCATTCCTCGAGAGACACGATACTCTGGGAAAAACCGAAAGGTTAGACTCCGTTTTACTACAACGCCGCGAAAGCGGTTATCAACGATCCGATGAATCGGGGCGCCATGCCTTTATTCTTTTATTCTGGGTAACAAAATTGAAAACAAACAGAAAAGTTAAAGGATAAAGACCGGATGCACAGAAGTGTTCCGTTAACACAACATCAATGTAAACACTGATGTGTGGCCTGTATAAAATGATAGAAGCATTAAAGCTCT